CTGATTCCCCCCCCCCCCAGAACTGTTATCAAAACATGGAAGTCCAGCTCGATGTGTGTACTGTTCTATCAGGTGCTTCTCTTGCAGATCTGATCACCCCACCCCCATCCTCTCCACTGTTTGGTGCTGGTGTTAAGTCTCATCTTCTTGGCTTAGAAGGCTTAGTGTTCAAGAACTGCCTTTGTGTGGTCTTCCTGTGATTCACCTATTTCCCCATATTGTTGTCTGCAGCCAGATTGATCTCCTTCTGGACTCCCTAAGCCATCCTCAAGTCTTACCTGGGTATCTTTGCTTGTCCTTTGTGCCCATGATGCCTTCACATTTTCACCCCCTCTCCCCCCATCTTCCAGCTTCTTCCTTGCTGCCTCTGTGCTTTTGAACTGCTGGTTTCTGCCTGGAACACTCTGTTCCACCCCATATAGGTAAGTCCCTTCCTTCCTTCAGAGTTTGGTTCAAGCATCACTTGCACAGGAAAGCTTTCCGTAGCCCCTCATGCTAGGTCAGCCCTCTTTCGGTGCTCAGAGACCTGCTGCTTTTCTTCTGTAGCACTTAACACTACTGTACTTACGTGACTGTGTAGTGGCCTCTTAGTCTCTCTCCGTTCAGCTATAAGCTCCGAGAGGCCGAGGCCACGTGTCTTATTTGTAACTGTATTCCAGCTTCCGTCCATGCCCTAAGACGGAGAAGCCCTGAGATAAATGTTTAGTGAATGACTGATCCTGTCTTTTCATTATTTTATCCATTCCTCAGACCTCACCTTATTGCCTCTGTGCCTGTCTAGCCATGTGCTAGTCATCCCCCCCATGTGGGTGTCCCATGACCACTTTTATTGATAAGCTGGAATTTAGCCTGTTTCCCCTAAACCTCCCATAAACCCACCCCATTGTTAATAATCCTCTGACCCCTCACTGCCTGCAGAATATACTCCAGATCTCCTTAGGATATTCCGAATCCTTCTCTGTCAGGCCCTACCTGTGCACCGCCGTTTGTCCTGGGTTTGGCCACTCCAGGTGATCTGCTGGTCCCTCAGTCATCCCCTCCCAGAATTGGGCTTGTGGGTTAATGATGGCTGACTTGACACTCTCAGATGTTTTATATCGTAGTTCACTCTCTCCTTTCTGCCTGAGACGCCCTTTGTTCTGTGTGCTTCCTCTATACTATGCAGCCTTCAGGGTGCAACGTGGGTCCCAACCCACTATAAGGAAAACCTGAATGTGGACCAGTGTTTTTAGAGTAACAACCTGTGGACTGAGCATGAGTTTTCATTGTAATTATGTTCTCACTTCCTATGGACTCTGTTTGAACGTCGGTTTTCCCACCTGTAGAAAAGGAGATGACTCAGCACTCATCCCAGTGGACCTCAGTGAACTTGGACTTCTTAGGGAACTTCATGAACGTCCTGCAGAGGTGACTGTTTGCTAACCCTCGAGGTTCAAGGTGGCAGTTGCATAAGACTGTTGGGCCTGCGTGAGAACGCAGGCGTGTGGTGAGAATGCTGTGAAGATTGACTGAAGCAATTCAGGATTTCCAGGCCTATCTCCATTTCAGGGATAATCGTGTCCTTTTTGTTTAATGTGATTTCTTGAGTATATATACATGTGATTTAATTTTTAAACGTTTTGACTTTTGATATTTGATATGTAACTGATTTTTGTATAAAACATTAAAATGTCTCTTTGGTTCCTAAAAGAACATCAGGTGGGTCTTTGCATTCACTTGCATCTACAGGATTTCCAGGCACCAGGGCTCCTTCCAGGGAGGTGGCAGCAGCCGAATTATCAACAGCTCTTATTTCCTGGGAGAGGTTAAGTGACTTGTTCATGGTCACAGTTAGCATGTGGTGCAGCTGCGATTCTAAAGCATGACATACAAGAGACAGCCTGCAAAGTGATCGATAAAAGTATGGATAGAATGCTTTTGGTGGACAGAAGGGACCATACCATTTAACTGAGGGAATGAGAGCTTTGGAACAAAGGAGGGAAAAGTGATTTTGGAACATTGCTCAGGCCACTACAGGAAAGGTTCATGGAGAGGCCTATAGGACAGCTGGATATCAGGCAAACCGGTGTCAAGGAGCAAGGAGGAGTCTGGTTAGAAAGGGAGGTGGGAAGATGCCCAAGATAAATTTGATGCCTGGGGCCAGTTAGGGGCCCCATTATCTCAGCTTCAAATCCAAACAGGACTTTCTTAGCCACACAATGCTATGTGTAGTCCAAAGAACTACAGTCCCTAGTACAATTTTATATTTGGGAAAAAAAAAAAATTAAGCCCAGTTTTTATTTATTTAGTTTCTAAATATAAACCCCAGAAACCAAATTTTGAAGAGGAAGGCTCTGAGTTTTGTTCATCAGAAATGGACATTAAAAAAAAAAAGATGGAGACAGTTGTGCAGAGGCTGTGAGATGGGAGGAGAACATGCGCTGGGAGCCACAGCCATTCTCTGACAAGTGCCTCTTAGGCCAGGGCTCCTCGCTGGGACCTCCTATCACCACAGTTCCGTTTCCAGCTTTGACTTCTTTCCTTGCCAAGAATTTTCACAGTGCAGATTAGTTGTCAATGACAAAGTTGTTTTGGGGGGAGAAAAGATCTTAGCATCTTGTGGAGAAACAAACACCTAAACATATTTTACAGTACAGCGTCCTGGCAGTTACAGTAACGGAAGGCTTTCTTCAGACCAAGGTGCGCAGGGAAGGGAGCTGCTGAGATGGTTTGGGAGTGCCCCAGAAGGCCCTCCCCAGCTGTCCTGCAGTGACAGAACTGTCCTTAAACACCAGCCATTCAGTTTTCATATAACTTTTTTTTTTTTTAATCCTCACCTGAGGACATTTTCCCCCCCACTGAATTTTTTTTGGGTGGGGGGGAGAAACATCGACATGAGAGAGACAGATCCATTGGTTGCCTCCTGCCCTTGACTGGGAATCAAACCCGCCACCCATGGGCAGATGATCTAACCACTAAGCCAAACCGGTGAGGGTGTCAAATAGCTATTAAGTCTCCCTTTTGTGAGAGCCCAAATGTCTCCAGGTGTTTTTAGCAGTTTCTAAAGCCATACCCCTAAGTTTACTTTTCTTCTGTCAGCTTTGTTTCAGAGCAGTGGTGTTTTGTCTCAATTTAAGAATAACCTGTGTTCCTCATATAATATTTCAGAAATACTGAAAACAGAGTGACAAACCCACCCATATCTGTACTTGTATATCAGTGGTTCTCACCCTGGCTGCATATTAAAATGATCTCAGGAGCTATTTTTTAAAATCAGATTTTCTTGGTTTGGGGTTGGGTATGTTGAAAGCTCTGCAAGTGATTCTGAGCGCAGCTAGGGTTGAAACCTACTGTATATGTAATTATTAATGATCTGGCTATTTAAAATCACCTTTTAGTGTATAGGGTTTCAATCTTTTTAAAAAGAATCGCCCTCATCCTCTTAATTCTCTTTTGTACCATAGAACTTTATTTTTTTAATGGTTGTACAGTTTTGTATTGACAGAATAAATATTTATAAACCTACTGATGGATATTACAATTTTTTATACCAAGAAAAAAAATTCTCATGCATCTGTGTAGTCTTGTCCTTTTAATTTTTTTCAGGAAAACTTCCCGTAAGTGAACTTTTTGTTAGATGGGCCAGGTACAGAAACTAGGGTACAGAAACTCACCAGGGCAGGAGGCCCTGCATGCCTAGCAAGGGGAAAACCTGGGAAAACAAGAACCTTGTCCCCAGGGTGACCTACCCTCCCCCAGCAGATCGCTGGTCACGTGCTTTAGACCTCTCTGGACTTTTCCTCCCTAAAGATAACAACTAGGCCTCAGTTGTTTTTCAGCTCCAGGCCCAGAAAAGCTGCAAAACCAGACAAGTGGCTCTGTGGCAGCCTCAGCACCTACACTGACTAATGACCAGGGACCAATCAGTGGAGCCCTTGACCCTGACAGCACACACCCGGAAAGCTGATGACTATTCTACTGAGACACTCCCCCGACACTTCCCCTAAGATATCCACCTGCAAGAAAGGTAAATACACTCAGGACAAAGGACCCAGAGCAAGCTCCCCATTAGGGGAGCAAGCCAGCGCCATCTCCTCCCTTCTTTCCTCCGAGGGGACCCCCACACACTGGCAACCAGGGGCGCAATGGGCAGGAGCACCTCCTCCCGGGCTTACCCCTGAAGGTGCCTCCAAGGTCCCGGGAGCAGCCCTGCCTGGGCTCTCCGGGTCCTTCTTCCACGCACCTGCCTTATCTCACCAGCCCAAGTGTATTTCTGTTGCCACACGGACCCAGCACCTTGGCCTCAGCGCCGTGCAGCCCTCCCCCTGGACATCCCCCGCCATCCCCTTTCCTCAAACAAACGCACTTTTCCTTAATCCGCCCTCTGTTCAGCCTGCCCGCGCACCACCGACCTCAGCCTTTCGCTTTTAGAATCTTAACTGCACTGCTAAACTGTCCTCCAAAAAACTGAAAATAACGTCCGCAGCTGCTGTGCCTCAAACACGGCGACTTGTGGGTTCCACACTCCGAGCCCCCACGTAGGGACACTGCAGCTTAGGTGGGGGACGCGCTCGAGTTCACGTCCGGACAAACGCCTGGGGAAGAGCTCGAGTCCTGGCTGGGTCGCTGCAGGCTCGCGTCGGGACCCGGGTTACAGCACGAGCCCCGAGAGGCGGGCCCCGCGGCTTCCGGGGGGGTGG